CAAAAAGCAAATAATATAAGTATAATATACTAAATATTAATATTTATTTAAGATTTTACTAAATGGTACGGTATGATAAAGAATCTGCCAAAGTATGCAAAATATGCCGAACAGAAAAAACAGCATCACATATAACTCCATGAAAACTTACCTCGTCATCGACGTCCAAACGATATTTTGACAAATCGCCATCTTCGTCGTCTTCTTCACTTTCCTCGCTTTCTGCTTCGATTTCACTTGATTTTTCGCTCGGTCCTTTCGATGGTGACTTGGTAATGTGACATTCGATTATTTTTGACGTTTGGCGGAACTTTTTCTTTCTTCTTCCGAACTTAAAGCAAACGCATATATAGAAAGTCAAACAAAATCATTTGAAGAAGAAATGCAGAAAGTAGAAAATGTTCATAATTTTAACTCTTTTGTGATAATTATATCTTATTCACGGTAACAAAATTTAAAGCCATCAAATCTGTAAAAGTGAATAACCACATAATAATTATAAAAGAGGAAAGACAATACAATGCAACTTTGGTCATGGATAAGTGTTAAACTTCCATCATCTAAACACTAACGCCCACTCGTTTCATGTTAACAATTTTTAAACACTTTTGCAATAAACTGTTCAGCACCACCTGAACATGAAGTTATTCTGCTCCGTAGAAGCACCTCTCAAATTCACCTAGAACTCCCCTTTTTTTGCTTGACTGAAGTACATATCCGTTGTCTCGAGAGGTGTCAAAATAAAACTACGAAAATACCCGAACGCTTGAACAGAAGAAATTCATCACATGAAAAAGTACCACAATTTACACAAGCAACAGACTGAGTACATTGAAGGGAGCAATATCGACAGCTGTAATTCTAAATACAATATATCCTTGATTCCACTGATCCAGATCTGACGGATATGGGATTTAATGAACAAAATTTCCAATTCTGCAACGGCTTAGAAAACTATCAAGAGTCAAACTCCAAAAAATGGTCAGAAAAAAAACATTTTAAAAAGCATGAATGGCAATTTACAATTTTAATGATTAGAAATCAGTGATTCTGACAGGGCAAATAAGAATGCTGATAAAAAGGAAACAACAGAGAACGCTATTTAGCAGCGACTAGAGGAAGATGAAGGTGATCGTGGATATGAACTGATGACAAAGAATGAGATAGGTGAAGAAGTTTCGGCTTAAGACAAAACAGACGAAAAACAATTATAACCATAAGGAAGGAAAACAATACACTGTAGGTGAGGGTTAATGCTGTTAATGTCAAAGTTTCTTTACTTCCTTCATGTCGACCGACTACTCAATTTGGTGCTGTCGTTAGGGCACTCGTCCAACGTGGAAAAAATCAATCCCAATACTGCTGTTGACAAACTACTGCGTGATTTCAGGAGTGATGCTAGAATTTGTGCTGTGGTCAGCGAACTCTAGTTAGATCTAGAACGGCCGATCATAAATACAAGCAATGCAGACGATTCCTGGCGCATCATCCCGCTTTATGATACATGGCACCATATTTTGAGCCTTGTTACTTCGTAAATAGGAAACTGCCAAACTTTATAAACTGTGTTAATTACGATCCGATGTGGATATCATTGAAATTCAGCCATACTCTTATCAATTTCGAAATTTCACGCAGATTACTGTTATTATTATTCATAAACAGCCATCTTTCAAAACACAACTGGACGCAATTTGACTAACCAAAACCTGAATCACCTTAACTTCGTATTTCTCGATAAGATGGTGCCAATGTTTATCTACAACTTATAGAAAACATCGAAAAAGTGATTCCTGTTCCAACTTTGAATACACATCATGACAATGCTTTGCATGGTTAAAACCAATGTTTCATATATGCACGACTGAAAAATATACATGCAATAAATAATAAATTTAATATGTATGATCAAATTATTGTTTTGTACGTAAGAGAAGTTCGCGCTATGCTTAAAAATATATAATTTGTTATTTAACGAATTACTGGTTTAATACAAACGTCACTTTAAAGGCATTTTGATTTTATAAATGACCTGTTGCCCTAATGCCTGTTAAATCGAGGATATACCGTACTTACGTAGTAGTGCTTCCATATATACTACCATTGAAACTATCAGTAAACTTTTAGAAGAGAGTTAATCAAACAAATTTTAACTTGTTAAGTAATTCTATCGTAAAACTAATAGCCTCCCACCTGTACAGTATAGGCGCTTTGAACGACGGCAGGAAATTTTTTAACCGTTGGAAAGTCGATCTTTTTTACACATTCATAAACGGGTCATTTCCTGTGCCCCATGTACCTATAAAGCTACTGATGAAGCGCTAATCTCCAGTTCTATGCTTTCAGCATGAGTCTTATTTTAAAGGATACAATCGCCAGGAACTACGCTGAAACCTTTATGCGTAGTCTCTTGTTTTCTTTCCACAGGGTGATACTCGTTTATAAACATCGGAAGAAAGAAAGGTGAAAAACTCTAGCAGTACTCGAACCTAACGTTTTTGAATCTGACGTTTCCCCGATTATTCCTTTGATCTTTCATTTTCCATCTTGTGAATGTGCCTTCTGGCAACCTGATTAGATGTAAGATATATAGTCACAGGTTTCCTGGTCTGGAGAATAAGCATCTAATAAGTGATGGCACCTTGGATTACCGTGTTTTGAAGCAACTTCTACATTTAAGTTTCATGGGTCATGGATGGCAGTCCTTCGGTAATACTCCAGAAATTATGAAAATAGGCAGCTGACAATATGCATTCAAAAAATATAAATTTCCATCTATGCCTTCATGTCACAGCGCACAACTTTGCAATGAAACTTCTATCTACTGAATACTCACAGAACAGATGGATGCATTCGCAGAGGCGCATTTTCCAAATAAAAGAAGACCGCCCATCGAATTTCAAGCAAGCCTGCAGATGTTTACTTCCATGAAACACTGATAATTTTACCCTCGATATACAAACTTAGTTTTTTAAAGGATTATTAAGATTAACTGATGATTCGTCACCGGCT